CAGCCAGCACCTTTGTCAAAAGGCTCTATTGATGCTCGCCGCTAGTGAACCCCATGGCGCTGGGACGCTAGCGGTCTCAAGGCTGCTGGTTGGTGGTTCGGGATGGGAAAGAGCCGGTCAACTGAAGAACGATGCAACTTGTTTCGTCAGTGGTCCACGAGGAAATCACTATAGTTTTAATATCCATGGAAGAGCAGCCAATGATAACTTGCCCTTTGTCTGTCATCAGCAAACCAAGACCACTAAAAAGGGGTCCATTGGACGATTCTATATTGCTGCTGATGAGAGGTTTTGACGATTCTCGTTCACCGGGAAGCGATAGGTGAGAATACCTACTTACCTTACCTAAGGTAGTACCATCGCAGCTACCTTGTGAAACCGTCCCATCTGCTGTATGCATAGATGGATGGATGGATATCCACATGGACCTTATAACCTTACAGTACCTAACCTTCACCTTTCGGCAAGGTCAACATAACCTCACCTACCAACGGAAGTCAAAAATGCCATGCATGTACCGTAGGCAGGTGAGATCGGGGGCCTTCCTCAATGGGGCTCGAGTACGGAGAACATGGGTCGCCCTTGCCAGAGTTCGATTTTTCCCATGGCTAGGAGAAGGCATTCCGAGGCAGATGGAACTAACATCCTCATGTCAAAAGTCTTGGAGTGATGACTGCCTCGTGGCCACTGACATCGACCCTGGCTTTTTACTGGGAACTTCACCAAAAACACCTGGCAACTCATTAATCTTCGGTGCATCCCCAAATGAACCCACTTCCAATGATACCGTCCTGTCGTCTCCCCACCATCTTAACTCGCCCACTCTCTCTCTCTCTCACTGAAACTTGCCCCTCACTCGCCCCCGGAACCCCCAAACATCCTTTGGGCCCTGACGATCCTTTGATGGATATTGTGCACCTGGATAATACAGTAAACCCCCATACCAGCTGCTATGCTAGGAACCACAAGGGCCTCTGGACAAGTTGATAGGGAAATGCCATCACTCTGAGGATGTTTGCCCGTTGATATCAATGAGGCCATAGAGATAGGTTTGGAAGCAAAGGAGTGTCCATTCCGTCTTGATATGTCCTTACAATTGTTTCGGACCCCCTCTTCGGCTCCCCCCCGCTTACCGTGCACCATGGGGCAATAGTTTCGCTTTTATAGGTAAGTCAAAATAACAAGAGGAAGTTTGCAAACGATGGGCTGATGAAAAGTATAGTAATCACCTCCAGCTGTCTTGGTGTGTAACATGTAGTCTTACTGCTTCAGCACGTTATTTCGAAATATCATGATCTTCATTATTCACACTGCCTATTGCGATTTTCCGAAATGATCTGCATACGTTCTGATGTCCATCAATCATGTCTGAGAAAAAAGTCATCAGTTACATACTAACAAAACTGACAATCCTTCCCCCAAGACTGAGGAACTCGAATAGAACCCTTCGCTGTCAAAAATTCGTGACCGCAGAAGCCAATCTGGCTTGATCGATATCACAACTGGACTTGAGAGTATTTTTGGGACAAGTTGGATTTCGTAACACAACATCCAACATTTGGTCCCCGCCAATTCACGTTGGTGTAAAGGTTCAAGAGTCTCACTTGCATCGACAGCGCTCCATTTCCGCCTTTATGACGACAATCCTTGTACAAATTATGTCCCTGTCTTCGATCGGCCCTCTCGTCTTGATCCTGGCCAACCACTTGTGGCAGACGGACTCATCATTTTCATCGGCCTCACAAGCACTATGTACATGCCCTTGAATAGAGAGAGAAACTCCTCACATCAGAGCTGGTCCATAATGGGACCTTGGGCTAACGAATCATGGGACTTGGATACCTTGGCTAGCTTGGGACTCTAGGTACTAGGTAGGTAGGTAGTAGCCTAGAGTTCGATAGGTACAGGAAGAATAAGAAAAAAGGCCGTCGCCATTAACCCTTGCCAGAAGGGGAAAAAAGAAAGGGCGCCGCACATCTCCCGCCGCCAACGCCTCAGGTGGTTTTTGGTTGTTTTAGCCAGAAAGTAGCTAGCCACGGAGGCTTTTATCCCATCCTCGAGAATGCCTTGTAAAGAAAGGACTTACTGGGTACAAGTTCTCTCCCTTCCTACTTTCGCTTCTCCCTCACCTTCAGCATCCGTTTCTCTTTCCCAGGGCTGTAAATCTGGGCAATTGCAACTCTCATTCAGCAGCGGCTGCGTTGGGACTGTGTTGCCGTCGTTCGTTCGTCGAACCTCATCTCACCTGAGACGTTGTCTCAGGTTAGCAGCTCTGTGGAGGGTTTCCTCCACCTGTGCTGACACCACACACCTCGCGCTACTGCAACGCGACGCCGCACAAATGCCCAATTCGTTCTGCAGCCACCCTCTTCTGGGCGCCGTCGTTTGCACATGTTTCGAATTGTCCATGGAATGGCCTTTGATTGGCTCGTCCCTACTACCTTCAAACATGATCAGAGCTAATCCGTGTCAACACCTTATGTGGTTTAGCCCTCATCTTGACTTATCCCTCCACTATACGGGGCACGTACTTGTCATCCTCTGCCATCCATGATCCATTCACTGGGCTACCTTGCTTATGCCAGGCGGCTGAAGGGCTGTATAGTTCTCTCGTGAGGTTATTTCAACAACAAGGCGGCGTCTTACCTGACATGGACCTTGGAGAATCACCAAGGGTTGCTATTTAAAAACATTGATGTTTGCGCTGTTACGAGTTGCAAGCGATACTGGGATGTCCTTTTAGCTTGTCGAAACAAATTGCCGATACTATAAGGTTTTATTTCGTATGAGTCGGAACTGTGCTCTGTCTGCGGTGGATTAGTTCTATGCGAGCACGGACGATGTCAACTTGAGTTTGACTACCGATGTAACGCGGATGATGCTGTTACTCTGTGAGTTACGGTGGAAAGGCAGTGCCTGCGCCCTTGCATATATAATTGTATTGTAAGTCGCGTAATTTCAAGCGCTCTCGCTCAAAAGCAGTGCTCGATCGAATGTGACTGCTTTCACCGTACCCATATGGCTCTGGTATCGTTGGCAAACGATCATATGTAGCAGGCAATACCAGCCCTTTATTCAGTCCGCCCGATCTAATCGGTGTGGCCTACATTTAGCAAGACTATCTTTTGTTAATCTTATGTTGGTCGCACCGCTTTGATGATGTCTGGTACATGAGGCTTGCGTGTAGCGTAGGATTGATGCATGATATAATACATAGCAGTCTACGTATTATGAACTACGCCGGTATATAGCATCTATTCACTTGGTGGGCAGCATATATACCTTCGAACTATAAACTTGCTGTCGTCGGTTGATTATAGGCATATTGTTTGGCTCGGACGGGGCAATAGAAAATTATATATCGACATACACTTGACCGCATGGACATAGACTTGCCGACAAGCGACAACCCAAATATGACACAAGAACCCCGTATATTTACTAATAATTTCGCATGGAATAAAACAACCTTATAGACAATAAGTAACTGCAATTATAATGCGGATAGAGCTACCCTAGATGTAGGGTAGGCAGGTTAGAACCACATTAAACGCAACAGAAGCACCTTAACAACTTAGGTACCTAGCTACCTATATATACACTGCAGCCGTAACAGTATTGGTGTTTGGTGATGTACTAATTGATTGGTAATGAATGGACAGGAATGGACATCATCCAATAATCACCTAACTCGCTATGTTAAAATTTAACAGACGTTGATACCCGTGCTCATGACATCTAAACTACAACCCGATTAGAGCATAAACTGACTAGAGTATTTGAAACGGAAATTGCATTTTATATAGTACCTACTAGGTAACTGGTTCCAAGGGGGCGTTGGCGAATCTTATATTCCATCTAACCTTAGCGGTTTATAGAGATCAGCTTGGAAAAGAAAGGTTGTATTAGATCGAATACAGATCAGCAGCCTTTGACTCGATTTCGTATAAAGTCTGAATAGTGTATAAGTATGCTTAGACTCCACGTTATATGCAGACACTTTGCAAGAGACTAATGTTCCTGTCGAGACGGAACACGATGAATAACTGAGCAGAACAAACTTATGGTGAGCCAATCAGGAGAAAGGACCTTTTTTCTATATCGAGATGCCCCACGTTGCGCCACTTCTCAGCCTCACCAAAAATTTACAAGAAACAATTCCCAGTAAAAGAGACGACTTGATATCTCTTTTAGTCACAGCAGATCCAAACTTTCAGACTCAAGCCCAAAAGGAATCAGAGTCAGAAAAAGGCTCCCCGCTGTTTGCAAATTTGTTTCTCACAAGCGACAAAATGCCCGCGCGAACGAAGAAGGAAGAGCAGCCACAGGCTGAGGATACCAACATGGAGGACGCCCCAGCCTCTGCGCAGCCTGAGGTGAATGACGAGGATGTCGAGGATGAGGAAGAAGAGGAGATTGAGCCCCAGAGAGTCCGAATCGTAAGCACAAAACCAGTGGAGACACAATGGTGATATCAACTGACACATCACTAGCTTCCTGGCTCAACAGACACTGCTGCTTCCTTTGAGTTCACTGATGAAGGTCATACACTCGGAAACGCGCTGAGATATATCATCATGAAAAAGTTTGTATTCCCTAGCATGTACTATGAAGCCCAATTAACATATGGCAGCCCCGATGTTGAGTTCTGTGCTTACTCCATCCCCCACCCCTCAGAGCCCAAGATGAATATCCGCATTCAGACCTACAGTACGTATACGCAATGCCCTCACGGGTTTGTACCTATTAACAAGTATTCAGGTGGAACTGCAGTTGACGCTCTCAAGAAGGGGTTGGTCGACATTCAAGAAGTATGCGATGTGGTCGCCGATGAGTTCTGGACCAAGAGGGAGGCCTACAACGCAGAGCAGGGGATTGACCGATGAGCCCGAAATTATGTGCTCAGGACTTAAAAGTATTTGCATTCACATGGATCATGATGGAAATAGAGGCGTTTTGAGGAATCCCTTTCAATGAGATATATACACAAGCCCTTGTTGCTAGTTGCGACCCTATGCATCCTGTCAGCCTTTTCCTCGGCAGAGCGCCATGTAGTTCGATGCTCACCTCGAGGAAGCCAGTCATAAAGCTGGATGGCAGTCGCTTGTCACCTCGGAAGTTCTCCTCCTTGAAGTAGGCCATGATGTGGTTGGTCTGCTTCCAGAAGTTCATTGTCTCCTGTGTCCACGAGGTCAGCATAAAACCCCACTGTACATCAATTCAATCCAGCTATGGAGCTCGAGCGCACCTGGTACTCGGCGTGGGACTTGAAGAGAAGAACATCCACAACAGAGAGCTTGTTCACAAAGCGTTGTCGTTCGAATTCTTGCCGCATACGGGTTCGAATGGCGGAGACGGGCATGGGCATGTTGTACATGGTTTGGACTTCGGGGGCCTATATCTGGTTGATCAGCAGCTGGTCGGTCGCAAATCCACTGGACAAGCTTCTTCGAAAGCCATATAGATGCCAGGGGTATCGTGATCCAAGAGAATGGGTCGTGGGTAACATACAGCTCGAATCCATTCTCGGTAGGAGGATAGCACTCGTCGTTTGGCATCAGACCAATTGGCCGCTGTTCAGAGCATCAGTCATGTCTTGAAAAGCAGTTTAGTACACCGAGACTCACACTGCGCCGTCTTCTTCGCAAACTGGGTCGGCGTAATGGCCATGGTGGGCAATCGATGCTCTCTTGACGTCGGAAACCAATCTGCTCTGACGTTTCTCAGATTCCCGAAACCGACGGGAGATGCACGAAAGCACCGCGGTGATGCAGTCACGTGAACAAACGCCACACACCAATGCACCGCCACGAAACCTATCTTCCACTCATAGGTCTGCTTTTCGTCAGCGGCCGGCGGAATCAAAGCATCAGGAAGTCTAAGGACATCTAATAACCTCAGATGGGCCTATTTTGCACAGATATCTTTATTTCTGAGCGCTTATCGGGGAAAGAACCAATAAGAGCCATTAAAGCTGTGTTCCAGTTCGTCGTTGCCTACGTACTCTGTGCCTATTGTGTCTAATAGGTAGGCCAATTAACAGCTGAGTACGGAGTACTACTGTACCGACCTTACCTATGGCCGACAGACCGGAAAAGGATTCGCCCATTAAGACATCTGGAATCTCGTTCATAATTTACGACTGTCATTGGAAGGTTTTGAGAGAAGGAGGAACGAGAGCTCTTATACTGTTCTCGGTACCCAAGTAATTTACCCCTCATGTCTTTCTTCGGAATTTCGCTGGCATTTCTCTTACTGGGTCGGAGAGCAGTCGGGGGTCGCCTCCACTATCAATCAGGCACTGGAGACTAAAAGTCAGTTTTAGTCTAGTAGCTAGCAACTTTCTAACGTCATTTCTCGTTGCGACAGGAACGTATCCTCAGAAAAACCAACAACAAATTCAACAGGCCAACACACAACCAAAGATGCCCGCCATCCGACACTCGTCTAAACGAAAACCGCCGCCTGATGGCTTTGAGGACATCGAGAATGACTTGCTCATATTTTCCAACAAGATGAAGGATGCCCAGAACAAGCCGCCGCCATCAGGTCCTAGGCACCAAGCGCAATGGGAAATCTTCCAGATCTCGCACCAACGCAGCCGCTACGTATATGAGCTTTACTACGAGAAGGAGGCGATCAGCAAGAAGCTGTACGATTGGTTGCTGAAAAACGGCTACGCGGACGCGATGTTGATTGCGAAGTGGAAGAAACAAGGATATGAAAAGGTCAGTGTCCCAACCGCCGTTTGTCTTGTGAGCCATGCATGCTGACCTTGCCTAGCTATGCTGTCTGCGCTGCATCCAGACAAAGGAGACAAATTTCAACAGCACATGCATCTGTCGTGTTCCGCGGGCGGAGATTAAGGGTGACGAAGACATTGAGTGCGTCAGCTGTGGTTGCAGAGGCTGCGCATCAAGCGACTAGACACGACAAGCGCGAATGCGAAGGCGATCTAGATGGAGGAAACACCTGCAAGCTCAAAGGAAGAGACGGCGTTGGGCGTATTAATAATTCATCAACGCACATCGATAACGATTCAAGGCAAAAAGCGATATACATGGACGCGATGAGGTAGAAAATCCTTTTATTGGCCGCATCATGTCTTTAACCAAAGTGTGCTGATACTCCTACCCAGTCTGAAACTTCATCTTTGCATCATCTTTTGGAAAAGCCAGCTCTTCCACGTCCAAACCGGACACTCGGCGGGACAAATGATAGTGACGACATGGCACCTGTAAGATCTGCCATTTCTGTGTCGGCCGGCTTGTGCTTTTCCTGCTTGTTTTCCTCGTTCTTCACCGCTGGTGACTTTGGTGCCTCTTTTGATTTTTCCTCCAGCTGTGATGAGACAATCTCGCCCTCCATGAGACTGGCGCGACGTCGAGAGTTCTTGATAGCCTGCGAGTTGGTCGATGATCGGCGGCGATGATGGCTGCCATCATTTAGCAGGGACCGCCTACCGTCAATACCGTCTCTGGTGACGGCGAAGAAGAAGTTCTTTGGATACATGTGCTTGTCGATGAGATGCATACGCCTCTTCTGATGTGTCATGCACTTACGCTCACATCCCTCGACAAAGCACGAGTACTGAAGTGTAAGGGGTCAGTTGCAGACTCGTAACGGTCGATGGAAAGCCAGGGTATGGGACTTGCAGTATGCTGGCCTTGTTCCCGCTTCACAATGACTAAAGGGTCGTGGTATTCTTCAATGTGGACGTTGAGCAGATGTTCGCTTGGGAAGTTCTTGTGGCATTCAAGACACCTATTAGTATGGGACTTGTTGTAATGGACCTCATATTCGTCGTAGGATCTAAAGGCCAGAGGCTCTCTGTGCGGAGGCAAGTTGCATCTCATGGCTATGGTATCCTCTTCGTCGTCGATGGCCGATTCAAGCTGAGTCACTTTTGACACTGGACGTAGGGACGGTTCCGGGTTTGCCTGTTCGGAATCGGAATCTAACTCTTCTTCGAGCTCTCGTGAGCGCTTCATCCTTTTGTTGTGAGCTTGATTGGAAAGGTAGAATTACTTGAGAGCAATGTCCAGAGGATGCAAAGCGGTGAGTACAGGGTAGCGAGTCTTTAGGGAGCTGTTCTGAATTGTCGAGACGAACTGGCAAAGTGCCTATATTCTCGCTATGCGTAGGGCAAGTCAACGTGTCAGGTACATATCTAGTTAAACATGGACGGGTTTTGTGTGATAGGACTGCCCGACGACGTTGTAATATGTCTAAAAGGTCCTGAATTGGAGGTGAGTACTAAGTATGGTGGGGTCTACCCTGTCAGGCGCTAGTTGAACCAGTTGATGAGCTGGCTGGATGATGAGGGGCAGCTTTTGCATCACGGAGTAACTACCTACCTTACCTTACCTATCACCTCAGGTAGGCCCTGACAATCTATGTACTAAGTTGGGAGCTGGTACTGGGAGCACGGGCCCTTCTTGAGTTTGTTTCTAGAAAAATATATTGAATCATCATAAATACAAGCAAACAGGGTAGACAGACTGGTTGGGTACCTACTATACGTAGTACACAGGCCAATGTTTTGCCTTGTATTGGTACCCAGCAAGTGACATTGATATTTATTGATGCCAAATGATCAATGCCTTTAACGATAAGATCTGGAGAGCTGATGTTGATATCCATGGATGCAAGTGCCTAGACTTATGAAGATACTTCGAGCTACATTATGTATTAAGATGTTAATTGGAACAACCTGCAGAATGCCCGCACTCTCGTGTCTGATAATTAATTATGCGTTTACCGTTCAAGCTTGAGGTGGGAACGTCTTTTTTGCTACTAACTACCTTACTAGGATAGGAACCTTAGTTAAGGTAAGTTCGTAAGAACTACCTAAGGTTAGTAGCCTGTATGGCTGTATAGGTATTTTCCAGGGTCCAAATGTCCCCCGACGAGTACATGCAAAAAAGGTGAGGTTAGTAGTACGGAGTAAGTATTCATCGCAAGGCAATGATCCGTGGATCCAATGGATCCGAAGTGAACCCACGGGGCAGTGAGACTCAGCACCACCACTGATTGGGCTTAAAATCCTGTGCCTTGGAACGACCGCCGCTGAGCCTGACCTGGCCTGAACCTTACCTTGAGGGGTTCCCGTCGGTTCATTCAATCTTTCATCACTTCTGAGGTGTCACAGTGATACTTTTCTCCCTTCTCTTTCAACTCACATTCACCAAAGTTACGCTTGGTTTCACAGCGCAATTAACAATAGGCCTGCGGTATAACTCGGGGTCGATTACTATCGCGCGTGTTTACTTTGCCTTATTTTTACTTTGCCGTATGCTTTTACTTTACTTTGCTTTACTTTAGCCTTCTATCTCTTCTACCTAACCCACCCCTCCCTCCATCTCTTCACCAATGTGTGTCTTCTCGGCCAACGATTCCATTTTCGCGAACCGAGTCTGGTGCCAGTGCCAGTGCCAAACCTCAATCTCAACCCGACGACCCGATCTGCGAATGAGTTATGGACCGAAAGTCTTTCCATGATCCCTTACCAGAGAAAGCATGAACGAAACGATTGTCAGTCCGATACCGACGCTCTAGAATTGTGCCGCGACACCTTTCGTCCTGCCCTTTACCTTTGCGCATCCGTGTCCGCCTGCGTCAACCTCGAGTCCACACAGTTTACGTCCCGATCCTACCGACTTTGCGATCATGGAACCCGAGACTGCGACGTCGAACGTCCAGGCCGCGAAGCCGGAGCATGCGGATCTTTCTGGTAAGGCCAGACAAACATGGCGGTAAGTTGAATATCCTCACTCACCACAAGATACGTGTGATCATACCCCGCCAAAGAAAAGAAAAGAAAAAAAAAAGAAAAGAAAAAGAAAAAGAAAAAAAATCACCAACTAACACACCAAAAACCAAAATGAAAATGAAAACACCATGATTTGATCGGCTTGCGCAAACACCACATACTGATTCCTTGCTCATCCTCAGGAGATACTCAGGAGCTGACATCTTCTAGCTCAGCAGTCAGGCTGCGAAGGCAACTGACAAAACACATGGAAAAGCTTCCAAAAGAAAACAACTCTGGCGTTGACATCTCCCAGTTCGAGGCGATGGATACAGTTCTGGATAAGTGAGGAAGATCGCATGCGGCTTGCTGCGCTTATGAAGCTAATTCACATAACCCCACAAAATAGATTCCGCCTTGCCTGTGTGCAGACCATCTATCTCGACTTCGAGTATGCTGTCGCCGAGCGTACCGACCAAATTATGTGGTTGGTGCATACTAGTATCAACAACGAATATCGAAAAGCCCTGGTTCGCCTCCGACACCTGGCGCAAAACTCGGACAAGCAAAAGACCGACAAGACAGCCAACGAAAAGCGCATTGGCGACAGGGACAAGAACAAGGGAGAGAAACAAACCACCCCAAAGCAGAAGGGTGACAAGCGCAATGTGGAGCGTCGGAAGTTTGGAGACAAGTATCTGGGCTTTCTACATGTTGCTCAGGAGTTCTACAAGGGTTATGTCCAGCGCCTCTCTGCACGATACGACATCCCCGAATTGAAGCGTATTGCTCAAGGCGTCGAGGTGGACGGATCCCCCAGTAGCGATGTCATCAGTCCCGTACCCGATTCGATCTATCCGCTGGTCATCAATTCATGCCACTTCACTCTCATCTGTCTCGGTGACCTGGCGCGTTATCAGGTTCAGTCAGGCTTGAAGAAGTCGAGCTATAAGGTCGCACTGGCCTATTACAGTCTTGCTCACGATTTGAAACCCGATTCCGGTTTCCCGTTCCACCAGATGGGCATGATAAGCCTCGAGGAAGGCAAAGATTTAGATATCCTTTACTACTTTTACCGCAGCATCGCAACAGCTGATCCTCATCCCAACGTGAAGCAGAATCTTGAGTCCAAGTTCAAGAGCTATTTCCAGCCGGATAAGAACCCGCCTAAGAAGCAAGCACGTGGACCAAGTGATGCATTCGTCACCTGGTTTACTAAGCTTCATGCTTCCTTCTATAGGGATGAGACCATGGCGGGCAGCGGTGAACTTGAGAGGGAAGTCCTTCATCGGCTTGATATGGCTTCCAAAAACCCTGACTATTCCGAGGTTCTGTTCAGGATGTCCCTGATCAACATGTCGAGCTACTTCATCGCCACTCAGAAATATACTGGTAGGTCTGCTAGTCATAAAATGCTTATTATTATTTCTAATGCAATACAGAGGCGCAAACGCAGGCAGCTTCACGTTTTTGTCACCATACTTTGCGTATCAACGCTCAATTCATTCTTGCGTTTTGCTCAACACTCACCTCTGAGCTCACCAATATTGTCGGCCGCGAGAACCCTGCTTCCGAGGACCCGGCAACAGCCAAATCATCCCCCGTGACCGAGGCGCTTCTACCTCTGCTTCGTATATACGGCATGTGGCTGGCTGCACGTCGCCAGGAAATATTCGCCGCTGGTAAAGCTCTTGGAACCGTACTGCCAGATATGATGAAGGCCATTTCAAAGGTCCTGTCATTACTGTGCAACGAAACATATACCCAGGAAAACCTGGCCTCATGCCCGTACCTTCTCGCGGAGGATGTCCAGACCCAAGGTCTGCTTCCCCTTGCCCCGGACCAGGTTCCGCAAGCTTGCCGATCCTACTTTTCTGAGAGCGGTGGCTTGAAGCCAAGACTGCCATCCCCAGAGAGACGAATCGGCACTTTCCAGGAGACCCTGGCAAGAATCTTGGACATACTGCGATGCGCCTACTTCCTGGCCGAGGACGACTTGTGCCCTCTTGCCGCCCATGTCTCTGAGAACGGCCTTGCTTTTGAGTACAAGGAGAAGTCTGCCGCGAACGAAGATACTTCCCAACCGATGTCTATTGTGAGTTCTCCTGCACGGGAATCCCAAAGCAACATCAAGACCGCCAGTCGACATCGCACCGGCTCGGACAATACGCAAACAGGGAACCGACTTGCGTCGAGGGCGGACGCGAGGAGGGCTTTTGTTGCACCTATCGAGACACAGCCTCCTCATGAGCAGTCCGTACCTGACGATGCTGATAACACTGTTATCAACATGCTTGCTCCTTTCCTGAGGCCCCCTACCCCTGAACAGGCACAATCTGGTCTCCGCTCCACTGACGAGACCTCATACGGAATGCATAGCACAACTGCGAACGAGGTCTTTGGAATGCTTCAGGCTGACGCCAGCCCTACGACAGGCTCCATGCCCTCTGGCAAGTTTGAACCTCTTCCCTGGGACTGGGTATACACCCCGACACCCCATAAGGGTAACGATGCCTCGGTCTCATACAAGGATGCTTTCGAAGCCCCCATTAGTCCCAACTTTTCTACAAGGAAAACGTCACGAACCGTCAGCGCATTTGATGACCCTTTTGCCAATTCCACCCCTCAGCTACCCACCATGCCGAGTCCCCGGGCCGCCAGTGGCATGATAGCCAGCCCTCGTGGTAGCTCAGCTGCCGAAGAGGCCCATCGCAACAACTTGCTTCAAACTTTCGGTAGCTCCGCCCCTCGTACTTCTGTGTCCAGCCAATGGGGCCATGACCACAACCGCACAGCCATCGAGACAGCACCTCAATCCTATGGTCACCATGGCTACGCTACGTCTTCCTCTTTGTCTGCGTTTTCGCACCCAAGCAGTTTGTATCAAGGCACACCTGCTAATGGGGCTGCTTTCGGCATGCCGACTGGAGTTGGCTATATGGACACGAGCCGCTACGATCGCAATCACATTCAGGATCCTGCACCATCCTCGTCGGGCCGACGTTTTCAGATGGATGAAACGACATCGAGCTATGATGCTGCCATTTTACAAGCCGCTTTTTATAGCAATAAGTAGAGGCATACGTTGATCTTATGTTATTTTCAGTACACGGCCGTGGAAATTGGAATACTCCAATCTGCTCAGTTTTTCATCCACTCTTGCGCTTTCAAAAACGTCTCGTTCCTGGTCTAGACCACTCGGGACGGAATACGATTGATTGCATAGACGACGATTTGCTACAAAGCCCTTGCACATGTCCTAGCATGGAGTACTGGTCTTTTGGAGTCGGTCAGCTTAAGATGTTGACGGCATAATGGATCAGCTTAACAGGTGCAGTATGCTGGCCTAGCTTAGCTGCTCGACGTCTTCGGACCTCGTGCGATAGCTGATGAGTTGGTTCGTCAACCGGGTTAAGCTTAGTCGGTATTCATTCCAGCCTGATGGTATAGACACCATTCGTCGGTGCAAGATCTTGGGGTTTAAAGCAAGAAGTCATTCATTTTATATTCACTCAGATAATATGCTTGCCAAATACTCGATATCGTGGAGGATACCATGCCGCTCAATGCGCTTGGGAGCCCTCAGTTTGGGGTATATTCTCCCTTTGGATGCAAACGCCGTTGTTGAAACCGTTTCCTTTTTCCCCAGCAACGCCGAACCACATTCAATGATCCAAGAAGGATGTGCAATATGAGTTGTTAATAGATTTAAGCAGCCTGGTAGGTTTGCTTGGGGAAGGGGTATCTGCACGAGAGTTAGTTGAGGTTTGTTATCATGTTACTGGGATTGGTGCCCTAGCCAAGAAGCTATGCTGTTGATAGGAAAGATAGGTAGAGGAATGAAGCAGTAAATTTTGCAACACAACTTGTCACAAACTGGTGCATTTGGGTGAACTTACGAAGGTCCAAGCTCCTGGATGCTCAAACGAGCGAGCCACTGGCCCATGTCAATGCTGGTTTCGAGGGGTTTGTTCTGGAGGATACCAGCCAAGAGACCACCAGCAAAGGCGTCACCAGCACCGTTGGTGTCGTTGATCTTCTCCTTCTCGATGGCGTGAACGGGGAACTCCTTAATATCGTCCTCACCCTGGATAGCAACCAGAGTAGGGTCGGTACCCTGAGTGACAATGGCAATTCGCTTTCTCTTGGTATTCTCCTTGGGAAGGTTGGCGAGATACTTGACAACATCCTTGGGCTCTTTGCTAGGGAGGTCGTGGGATTCGGCGTAGGCGGCGGCCTCGGTCTCGTTGCCGATGATGTAGTCCCAGTAAGGGGCGCTGGCATCGACAACCTCCTTGAAGAACTGAGGGATGAAAGGAGCAGACAGGGAGAGAACAAAAGGCTTGTTGTGCTCAGCAGCCTGCTTGGCGAGCTCCATAATGGCAGGAGGACAGACTGACATGGGTTAGCATTATCATAGTGTTTGGCGTGTGTGACCAGGCTCGTACCAGTGAAGTGGAAACCACCGACGTAGTAGACCTCAGCGTTCTCGACGAGCTTCCAGATTTCAGGCTTCTTTAAGTGATCGAGGTCGTAGTGGTTAGCAGCGCCAAGATCCGTGCACAAGCTTCGGTTGTGGCCGGTAATGATAGCACCACATCGGCCAGTCTTCTCTTTGGGGTCGACACGGTATTCAACACGGAGACCAGCGGCCTTGACAGCATCGTGAAGGATAGCAGCATACTTGTCATCGCCAGCGCCACCGAGGTAGACGACACTGTTAGGAGGGAGGATGTACTGAGCACCTCGAGCACTGTTTTGTGCCGCGCCTCCAGCAATCAGCTTGGCATCGTAGTTGTTTAGGAGGTCTTCGTAGAGAGGGATATGCTTCTCCTCAGCGAGGATGGCATCATTAGGCTTGAGGCCATACTTGTCAAGTAGAGCCTGGTCACCCTTGGCCTGGATGTCTGCATAGAACAAAAAGTGCCTGTCAGCAAATGATCGATTGCATGGGAGGGGCACGGAGAGTTATTTCTCCTGCAAATGGTGTAATTGAAGAGTAACTCACCGAGGAGAGGGTTCTCGAGGCAGAGAAGGGAGTATTCCTTGACGGCAGACATGGTGCTTGACTGTCTTGTTTGGGAAGAGAAACGGTGAGATATAGATGATGAGGATAGAAAAGTAGATGAAGCTTCGGGGGGGAAGAGTTTGAGGTGAATGGAGGGGTCAAACGTCCTGGTCTTGGTGGGGTAAAAACGTGGGGCGTGGCCCTTCGGCAACCGAAAAGGAGCGAAGCTGGAGAAGTTGCGAGTACACGTGCGGCTGCAGCTGGGAAGGACCTGGAGGGAAGGAAGTTCAAGCCGGAGAGTCGAAGAAGATGGTCTCGCCAACATTTCTATGTTGATTACGTGCCTCGAACCGCAGCTTCGAGGCGGGAAGGGTTAGATGATGGGAGAGTTTGTATATATGGTCAAAGCTACAAGTTTCTGATCGTCGGACGGCTAGGGCTCTCTGCTTAATATAAATAAATTCAATCATACGATCCAGATCTGGTTACCTCATCACAAGCCGTACGTATCATGATCTGGTGACCTAGCCAATAGCTTGCTTATTACCAAAAGAACCCCACGCGATATCATCAATTAACCTTCGTTACTCGGAGTAGTTCGTGTGAAGGCTGCATGAAGGCTGCAAAGCATTCCGATGAGCGAACTAATTGATGATAAGAAGCTGAGTATACAGTAATACATCACTTGCATAATAAAAACGCGTGGTGCGCATGATTGGACACAATCGCTGAATGGACATTATTTTAACCAAGCATGCTTCTTCTCTCATGGAAGCCTTTTTTCGGTATTCGCGGTATCTCACTTCTTCGCTCACATCTTTCACAGAAACCGGCCTTCAGATTTTTTTTGCGCCAAATGTCATAGTACTTGCCCTTGGAGCTACCAGCCATCTGCTCTCGGCAGTACCTTCAATAGATGCAAGCAAGCCAGTAAACACCATCCCAATGAGACCATGAACCCAGCCACCACTTTACTCCTTTGTCTTCTGGGTACCACGGAGAAGACCCGTCCTTCTGGCGGCAATAAGACCGGCCTTTTGACCCTGGGCGGCGTATCGGGAGATGGTAGAAGCCTTACCAATATGTTGATGGTTACCCTGTGTCCATTGTCAGCTCTTCTGTTTCATTCACATAAATTCTGAGAATACGTACACCACCGTGGGGATGGTCGACGGGGTTCATGGCAACACCACGAGTCTTGGGCCAGCTGTTGCGCTTGACGGCGAACTTGTGCTTAGCACGAGAAGCCTCTGCAAAACATGTCAGTGATCCGATGCCTCATTTCAATTTCAGGATCCCACGAGAAAACATACTGAGGAGAGGCTTGTCAGTTCGGCCACCGCCAGCGACGATACCGATCATTCCTCGAGAGCCGGAGTGGACGACCTTCTTGGCACCGGAGGGAAGCTTGATGCGGGTCTTGCCCTCATCAGGGTTGTGGCCGACAATGGTGATGTAGTTGCCGGAAGTACGGCCGAGAGTGCCACGGTCACCAATCTTCTCTTCGACGTTGGAGACGACGGTACCCTCAGGCATCTCACCGAGGGGAAGAACGTTGCCAACGGTGAGAGCAGCCTTCTTTCCGGCGTAGATGAACTGGCCAGTGTACATGCCCTCGTTGGCGATGAAGGTCTCGGTGACCTGCTTGAATCGGTAAGGGTGGCGGAAGACGACCTTGGCGAGAGGGGCACCACGACCTGCGCAGACAATAATCGTTAGTTGTCGTTCCTCCATCATTGCATTTGCACACAATTGTGCAAGTTCGTTCAAGAAATTCTCGGGGGGCTCATCGTTCGGGGAACTTGCCAGCATCGTGGACGATCTCTCGGACTACACCTCGAAGGTAGCCATGGCGCTCGGCATAGTCGAGGTTGCGGAACTTGGCAGGAGCCTTGTTCAGGCGTGTGTTGGCCGCTAACAGGCGTCAGTATCTTTATGTTTTTCGATATCGTGGACAAGGCTCGTTCGGTACTGACTGAAGATGGATCCACGACCCTTACGCTGGTTGCGAATAACTCTACCCATGGCGGCTCTTCTTCACGGTGTGAAAAGGGAAGGGTAGTCTGTGAAGCTGCGGGTTAGTATGGAAGATCGTGGGCGAGGAAGAAAGGAAGGGGAGGGGATATTTACCTGGCGATGGCCGCTTGGTGTGTTGATAGAAACGCTCGCGCTGACTACCAATTTTGTGCGTCGTTCTTTCTCAGTTTGCGGTGGATCCAATCACGTGATAGGGCTCGATCGCTCTTTCCAATTTTCAGTTCCAATTCGACTGTGGAGTCTTCCCTGTTTACGGGTACGGGCAGTAATAGAACGGGGCAGGTGTACATCAGCCCCATAAATTATCCAGTGTCTGTCATTGGATATTAGCGCGACGCGTGCTTAACCAATCGACCTTTCGCCTCTCGACATCGCTCAAACTGAGCTGAAGTCATCACCAGCGATCATCACCACGACAGCTCAATCATGACCTGGTGCATGCTTGATTCTTAGCAATATCTCGTCTGGTCAAGGGTGCTAGATTACACCACGTCGCTTTCACCACATATACTTTTTCGTCGATATCGTTGATGCCGTTCTGAACAGCCTGTTGTCAATCTTGCGTTTCCTGCCGTTTGCGTATATACCACGCGTGGGCTTTTATGTTGCGTTGCGGGATGCTAAGCGGGGCGATACACTTTGATGTTGAGGTGGTTGAAGTCGACCAAGCGGTTGATCCATGGTGAGCGACAAGGGGAGGACGGGGCGTTCAAAGTGGAATATCCCTAAGTGGATGCCCTCTGTGTTACGTCTTTGGACATCGCGACGATTTCTGCGATATGTTTCTAGTGGGACATGCTCATTCTTGGCCTGTTCTGTCTGAAAAGCCCTTCGTCTCTGAGACAGACCTTGAGTGTGGCGGGAAATTGCACTATCTAATGCTACATGGAGGTGAGAGCAGATGCCGATTCTCGATATTCGGTTTCTCATTCACGACTATGCGACTCATTCTTGAAATATGGCTCGGGCGACTCATGCTAGAAAAGTTTTTGGCAATGCGGCAGCTGGCACTGCTCAAGGAGAAAGAACATTGGGGGTTGATTGGGTGCCGAAGTTCGGCCAGGGTGCTTATTTGAAGATCATACGGCCAAACTTGGCCAAGATGACGAACAAGTGAAGACTCTCCAGTTCGTCTTGGCCCAACGCGAGGGTCAATCTACTTATGCGGAAACTGAACCGCAGAGAAAAGGGACGAGAGTTGTGTACTGGTGATATACTACCAAACACCACATTTGTTGGAATAATCTCATCATGACATTGGAACGGAGATCTTGGTCCAGATCGTGCCCCAGAAGCTCCGTATGGGGAGGGTGCAAGAGGCGGACACTGTTACGAGGGTGCAACAGCCTGGGTTGCAAAGGGCTCTCGGCTGGGGGAACAACAAAGGATGTTTTTTGCTTTGTTTCTATTGCGAGCTTGATTGTTTAGATAGTCAATTGATATTTGTCTAGCCTATCAGGACTCACCAGCCTAATCTGCGGCTCTTCGACCAGGCTAGTGTGTGCTTGTTCTGTGTCAGAGCCCAAGTTACGTCGTTCCTCCTTCTCCCCACACTCATCTCCATCTCCATGTCAACCTCACATCAACAAACCACATAAAAAATGTCGGCCGAAGACGACTCCTCCGACCTCTCTTCGCTCTCTTCGTTGTCACCTGTGCCTTCTGATATTGAGCTGGACGAACCAACCCAAGAGCCAGTCGCCAAGCCCAAAAAGGGTATCCAGAAATACTTCTCCAAGGCTACAGACAAACCAGCCAAGGAGGCTTCGCCGCCACCACGAAAACGCTCACCGTCGCCCCCTCATGAATATGTATTGGCAGATAATCCAGACATTGCAGTATGTGCTCTACTGCCGTGCCCAGCCTCCTTTCACAATGTTCTCTTTTGCCGTTCAGCGCGTGTCGCAGCTGTTGCGACGCGCTGCAGTCGCGCACTGGACTTTAAGGGTGCAGGCTAACAGCTCCAGTTCATTGTGATGTTCAGAAGCCGATTCAATGACGCATTTCCTAAATCTCTTGCCCATTTTGGCCCACAAGAACTCGAACGTGACATTGTCGAACCCATTCCTGGCGATCGAGCAGAACATTTCCTTTGCGCGTTGCTGGGGTTACTATTGAATCGCAAGCAAGATGTCAAGTATGGCAGGATTCAATGTCGCAAGAAACAATGCGCTAATTGAGAATTAGGCCTGGCCATTACGGTCGTGCTTTGGAGGATGCTGTCAGTACTCACAAGAACCAATGGGCACCGGCTTGGGAGGACAAGAGCCCTTTGTCTGGCGGCGCGACGTTCGCCTCGATGAACCCTACGAAACGAGTGCGTATTGCCAAATCAACCCTCGAGCCTGCCCCTGGTGCTAACATTGATGAAGCTTACACTCCTGCGATATCTAATTCTTTGGACTCTTTCGTCCTCCGACACCGTCAAAGGACTTATCAATCAATCATACAAGCAAAACCGCCACGAAGATGATACGAACCAGCCTAGATCGGTACAGCCTTGGGGATCAGATGGAGACAAGCGCCGCTATTTTCTGATTGAAGGACAAGACGACACTGCGTTCCGCGTTTACAGAGAGAGCAATCCTGCTGGGACCAACAGAACATGGTGGAGCGTTGCGGGTACTATCGAAGAGCTCAAGACTCTTGCTGAGAAACTCCAGGTTAAGGATGGCGGACCAAAAGCTACAAAGCTAGCTCAGAAAATGTTCTCTGCGGTGCCCCGATTCGAAGCCGGCGAAGATGTTAGTTATAAAGCCCTGGCTCTGGCACCAGGACTGGGCTCCGCCACAGCTCTCAACTCGACTACAGGACTGACACTTTATAGAAACGGAAGCGCCGTGATTACCGCCAGGCGCGCAAGGAGCAGTTCAAGAGACCGGAGCCTGGGTTTTCTCTTTATGAGGGTCGAACCCGGGGCAAAAAGATGAAGTATACATACTCCGACGATGAAGACATCTTCACTACCGACTCGACAACTCGACGATCTACCCGCAACACTGGAACTCACACACC